TCGTTAAATGGCAACAAAACGCAACCACGGGTCAACTGATTGCTGGTGACGGCACAGCGGGTAATTTATCAAGTCAATTTAATCAACCAGCTGGCCTATATCTTGACCAAATCAATCAAATTTTATATGTGGCTGATTCAGCTAACCGTCGTATACAAAAATTTTCATTAAATTCAACAATGTTCCCATTGAACGGTACAACAGTCATTGGTAATACAAGTCAATTAACATATCCATTAGCTGTGTATTTCGATACAATCAATCAATATTTATATGTCCTAGATGTATATACTAGTAGTATATTGCTATTTACATCGAATTCAAATCAAGGGATTGTTGTTGCTGGAGGAAATGGAAATGGTTCATTATTGTCACAATTAAATAACCCATTTGATTTATTTATTGATCAAAATTCATCAACAATCTACGTTGCTGATACATCTAATTATCGTGTTGTTAAATGGCTGAAGAATGCAACAATAGGCGTACTAGTCGCCGGTGGTTATGGTCCAGGTACAAATGCCAGTCAGTTTTCTAATCCAACAGGTGTTATTGTTGACCAGAATGGTACGATCTATATAGCTGATCAATTAAATTCTCGTGTGCAACAATGGCCAATAAATGCCACACAAGCAGGGACTATTGCTGGTAGTTCAAATGGTACCTATGGTTCGACATCAAGTTTACTCAATGGAGTTTATCATTTTCAATTTGATGTCAATATGAATCTCTACGTTGTTGATAGTGGGAATAATCGAATACAAAAATTTAACGTTAATAATAGTTCATGTTAGAAAGAACTCTAAACTAAATTGAACACACTACTATAAACTTCGCATTACATATCTATTTTCTTTTGCTGTTATAAGGTGCCGCTAATTAAAACTTGGCGCAAAACATTTCATTTCGACGAATGGTTGGATAGAGCTCACCTAGAATATATACGTTTTGGATTCGTAGAATAAGAAATTAAGTTTTTCAATTCTTTTCAAAATGCTATATAAAAGTCTTTTTTAATGTGATAGTAAGTCGATATTTTTACGTTATTCTAACTGACAGAGTATCCGGAAAAAAGTCAAGTATGTTTTAGTTTCTATTTTGCATCTTTGCTGAGAAAATTTACTTTTTCCAAACAAGAGAAGTTGTGCACAAAATTGGTAAGTCATTTCCATTATACCGTTTTTGATTTAATAACATTGAAAAACTGGTTTTATAGGTATAAAACATTTAAAACATATATATTCTTATTCAGCACGTTGAGCTCGATCCAGTCCTGTTTCACTCGTTGAAAAAACATTTTTTGTGAGAAGTCTAAGGGAAGCCGTCAAAAATAACAAAATGCGTAGAACGTAGACGTAGACTATATTCTACGCGTGGAAAAGTCTATGCGTAGAATTTATTTTTCTACGCGTAGAATATATTTGAAACTATCTATATCTATATCAATGCGTAGACAAATATATTCTACGCGTAGAAAAATAAATTCTACGCATAGACTTTTCCACGCGTAGAATATAGTCTACGTCTACGTTCTACGCATTCTGTTATTTTTGACGGCTTCCCTAAGTTAGGAGCACCTACCGTACTGAAACTTTAGTAATCTATCTGAAGATAATATCTTATACTTTTCATAAGAATTGTGGAAACTCTTTATTTATACAAAAGCACATATTTCTGAAAGCTATCTTAAATCACATTGTTTATTTGTTGTTTATTTTAGCTGTACGAAATTATATCATCTCTGTTTATACGACAATTAAGAATTTAACGATTAGATACCTACGATACCTTAAATACCCTAAAAAGTATATGTCAATTTTTCACTCATGACCGATCTTTGGCAAGATACTCGATCGACTGGCGAAGTCCCTCTTAAAGCTTTCGAAGGTATCTATTGAATATCATAACTTAAAAAATCTGTTTTCACTGCTGTCTGTTTTTTCCGCACAGACACATGTACAAGGCTATTTGTATGCGGCGGGCGCGGGGTGGAGGTGAGGTTGAGAGTGAGTTCGAAAAGTAGTTGTACGATGCGCTGACGAGTGCGTGAGGTTATTGGAACTGAATCAGGTCAACTGAAACGAAAAATTGAATAGCCAGTAGACTGCCAGATAGCACTGAACGATTTATTCTGCAGGTTTTACAAACAAGGAGATAAGCTGAAAGATACCTATACGTAAGATATCTATATAACTAATGCTCTATATGTGTCATACATACATCTCTAACCATGTAGATTGTATATATATCCTGGTAGCTCTCCATGAAAAAAATGACATAAACATGAATTCACAGCGAACGCAAATTGTGTACGATCTTTTCGGGAAACTTAGTTTCCCCTTATGGGGTATACTGTTATTAATAGATATTCGACGGATAGTACTAACATTAGCCATAAAAAGAGTGGTGTATCGTTCACAAAATGGCAGTTTCTCTTATGCAAAAGGACTTCACTATATCTGGCGGTTCTTCTTCCTGTTAAGAAGGAGAAGAGAATAAGATGTTGCTGTAGATCGAAGGTGCACGATAAGAGACCTACTTTTCATCGACTATAAAATTGAAAAAGTTAGTTGTATTCTAAGAAACTGAACCTGCCACTGTGTACACTAGGGAATACCACAAAACACGTCAAGAATATATGGGTTGACGCCGAAAATGGCACACAATGAGAATCGACGTTTTAAACCTCAAAAGCAAAAGCTTCACAGATAGTTAAATATGTCCTACAGTAATTGGACAACAGGATATGACAAGACTAGTCTGGTCCGCTACCAATAATCAAACCATATTTTCGATAAATAAAGATAAACAAGAAAATGCAGACCATAATTGTGTTACACAATCCTGTTAACACCGACACAATTTACAACAACGATCGCAATAAGAATGAATTAAGTTTTGCGTTTAAAGAATTAAAATTGTTTTGTTTAACTGTTTTCACAGACTTGTCGACAGAACAGACATGGTTCACTATTTTTTGTTCTATATTTTTCTCTTTCTGTTATCGTTATAGTCTGTTGTTATCTTCTATATACTATACGTAGTGCGCATAGTAAAAGAAATATATTACACAATTCATTGTTTTTCTTTATTCTATATTTTTCGTTTAGTTTAAACTTTATTCATTTAAGAAACTGAAATAAGAATAGTCATGCTACACAGATGCGGTCGCGGCCATTATATCAGAGGAAAATGACATAGCAAATGATATAAGCGATTACGGATAAAACGATTCTCTCCTTCATCTTAAAATGTGTAGTTGACATACCAAAAAACTGTTAGTTAGTTTCTTTTCGTTAAGAGATCATTCTGATCTTCAGCGTGATCAATATTTCTCTTTGTCTCCTCTCTCGTTTTGTTCTCCACACAAAAACGTCTTTCCCTGCAGTGAATGCAGGTAAAGAGTTCTCTCCTGCAGCGAGCGCAGGTAGGAAACATTCTTCTTTATCTGCCGGCCGTCAGTGGGAAAAGTATTCATTCACCTGCAACCTGCCGTTTGCAGGCAGTTTATAATGGAGGTGATCAGCTCCGATGTGCCTGCATGTGCAATAGTTAAATCGATCGATTATCGGGCGATTAATCGATAGTTGCAACTAGAAGAAATCTAGCAATCTCCCGATTACTCGATTTCCACTGTCGTTACCCAATACTTGCAATTGAGTAAAAATCTAGATGAATTGGGCGATACCAGATGTTTTTTGACGCTTGGGTAAAGATTTTTATAAAAACGATCAAACCACCAATTGACTTAACGATTATTATTAGATAACTAAACAATGTTGGGTCTTCTGTTTTACTAAAAGACAGTAATCCGTATCGACTAATGATTAAAGAATCTTTAAAAATTTTAAGTCATTAACCTAAATTAAACGGTGCTGTTCGTTCAGTACCTCGATTTGTCTTTCCTAACTGAATTTCAAAAAATCTCATCTCAGATCCAGGTGGTTAATAGTTTTCATCATAGAAACATAGTAAGCTATTTTATCACTCTCTCTTTATGTGTTAGTCCATTACTATATTTTTTTATTATACGTTCTACATCTATGTGCTAAGTACAAAATTCAATTCTCTCTCATCTCTTCTCTATTGTTATTTTGTGAAACTATCTTGGTTTACTTCTTCAAAAGTTGAAATTGTTCTCTTGCTTCATTCTTATTTGGTGAAAATTTTCTTCTTTCATTCTCTCGCCTTCTTTTCCATTCGTCTATCGGTACTGTATATCTATATATTTCTTAGTTGCGCTAAATGAATTATATTTTCCTTTTCATAAGTTATGTACATAGTGATTTTATCCTTGAAAATGAATTTTGTATAGTTCGAAACGTCGAAATAATTTAAAACTAAATAAAATACTTTAATGAAGTTAAAAAACGCTGTTGTTATCGTGTTTTTTAATCATATATTCTTTATCTCGATATGACTGGAAAGCGGCGAGATCTTTATTATAAAAATTAGAGAAGTTATAAAGTTTGGCTACGATCTTTGCCTGCATTAGACACACAGTGGAATCGCGTTACGCCAAATTCCTTGAAAATAAGGTGGTAAATGTAGAGTTCCTCGGTGAATCCGACACCGGGTTACTTGTAAATCTATTTTGACTTCTTCTCTGATTTCGACACAATCTACGTCCTTTTTGTCCAAATTCTGGGTGATTCACCGTGAAAAACCACCTAATTCTTTAATGGAGTCAGAGACAAAGACGTTGCGAATGTTTTCACACTATTCATCCGTTTTTCAAGCACTGTCTTTAGAATAAAAATCAAAAATATACTCACTACATTATATGAAGTCCATTATATCAGTCAACAGCAGAACGATATTTACATGGAATAAAGTGGTCAAGATAGAAAATCCCTAGAATCAAGTAGAGCCAATTCAACCAGGTATGTATGTTACGCATACAGTATCAAAATGTGAACTATAACTCTTTATATTAGTTTTCTGTTGGTAAAGATGACATTTCTTCACACAACATCATTCAAAATTTGATTTAACATTGCAATATCTACTTCTCATAGTGGCAGCTATTGACAGAGACAAGAGAAGAACGGATAGTAAAACGCTGAACGTCATTTTGATTTGCATAACTGCTTCTATTCTTTCCTCCGTAAAAAGCATCATAGAACATGTAAAAGACCGAATATTGAAAAAGAATTGAAAATTTTATTATTCTTTTACATACATTGAACAGACTTTATACATATAATCAACAAAATACGAATAACTATAAAAATATATATGCTACAGTTAGTAATTACCAGTGGTACAGCGATGACAGCTTCTTAATTACTTGCTGGTGGTTGCTTCCTCTCTTACACTAACATACCATGTCTGTGTAGCTTCGTCCTTGTCGCCTAACCAGGGTCGCTGATATTGTAACCCTATTTTTGTCACTTCATCATTGACATCTCCACTAACAAACTCCCATATCTCATCACCACCACTTCCAACGATATTGGGTTCATGAGGATGAGGTACATAACCGCAGGCGAAGAATGACACTTTTGACGAGTCGGATGATAGCAACGATCGTGATATTGGATGTATCGACCACCCGTAGCCTGTAGTAGGATTTGAGTAAACTTTGAGGAAAAAGTGGGAACGAGGAGGGACAGTGATATGTGTTTGAGTTGCAGGGAATGTATTGGATGATGAACGAAGTTTGGAAAGTGTTGTTCCATCATCACGGCATGCATTTATCATAGATATGGCGATAAAGAAGAAAATAAAACGAATTGAAGATGAAGAGATCATTGTTATTGTAATGTGGGATCTAAAAATTATAAAAGCACACGAATGACTTCATGGTTAATTGAGAACAATGAAGAAACACCAAGGAGCAGTAATAGTGGAGTTCGGTGCTTCTGCCTTCTAAAAAGATTCTTCTCTTAATAACACTCTGGATTTCTAAAACTACTCATTGTTATTCATCTGACACTATTGCGCTTTGGGCTGAAAATTCTTCTAGAATATACGCGTACAAGAACTTTACCTTCGTTTAGTTGATTCACAAACAGATTTAAAATGAAATGAGGTTCACAAAAATGATTATATAGCGAGGAAAATCGTCTTCTATATATTTCACAAGTGTTTCTGTTAGAACGGACTGATTGTTCGAAAAAAAAAACTACTGAATAAAGACCTCTACTGTTAGAGAAGCGAGAAAAGAATGATGTACAATAATCGTACCGAGAAACACTGACTTTCATTGCATTGGTGAGTGTACAAGTGTTGATCCAATGAACGAACTACTATTCATAAGAAAATAGAATGGATGTGAGATTTTCCAATCCATCTACACTGTTGTTTATACCATCAAAACATCACTCTTTTCATTGTTTCACATACTGTAAATGAATAAATAATAAATCCTTTCCTGTTGGATAGAAGTGTAAACCGTCAACTAGTATTATTTTCTGATTGTTTTTGGGTGTTCTAGTTTAATTAATTGTTTTCAAGTCCTTTTGTTGTTTATCAACTCAAGCTAGTCAAAAAACCTCACATCCATTCTATTTTCTTATGAATAGTAGTTCGTTCATTGGATCAACACTTGTACACTCACCAATGCAATGAAAGTCAGTGTTTCTCGGTACGATTATTGTACATCATTCTTTT